GATTCACGGGATTCACGGGATTCAAAAAAATGATCTGCAAAATTGGCATATTCAACTAAATTGAAAAGAGCGATAATACTGTAATACGTAATACATAAAAAACGAGAAGTTTGGTATTATTTTATTTTCCGCGCTACACTCCAGACAATACAAATAAAAAAAGGCGTTGTCACGTTAAAGAGCACATTATAACGAACCTGGCAAATATAATTGTATTTGTGTGGGTTTGTTGTTCAAGAGAGTTATTGCAGCTTGAGCTTTCTATGTTTTTACTATTAAATTAACAGTACACTATAAAATATCTTGATAGTGCTCTTCATTGTATATGACCTGCACCATATCTGTAATTAGACTGATGTCGAACACCCTAACCGAATACTAGGGATGTTAAAAGTCCGGTCCGGTCCGACTCGACTCATTGGAGTCGAGTTTTTATTAAAGTCCGGTCCCAAGTCAGACTTGGGACTCGACTCGCATTGCACGTGCATCTTACATATTAAATATAGCATTGAAAAGAAACGTATACGCATGCATGTATACGTACGTACGTACGTATGTACATTGATTACACAATTTTTTTTTGCTATATTTAAATATGAAAGATGCACGTGCAATGCGAGTCGAGTCCCAAGTCTGACTTGGGACCGGACTTTAATAAAAACTCGACTCCAATGAGTCGAGTCGGACCAGACCGGACTTTTAACATCCCTACCGAATACGTACGCCATTTTGGCGTGAATAATCAGTGGTACGTACGGATTTTACTTATTTGTGCGGGTAACACAAACCAAAAAAGGAAATCGAATTTTGTAAATAAACTAAGTGCGTAAAGATAGAAGTTTAGGGTTAGAGCGTTAACATTAGAGGCTATAACAATAGACTGTTGCTCGTTATATGTAAAATTTCGTTGCCGAAATTTTTAATTAGTGAACCAAGGTCGATTTAAACACTAGTTTTTGAGTATTTTCGCTTTTTTCTTCTTTCACACGTGTTCGGAATTCATCCGGAACAATCAAATTTTGTGCACTCCGATGCTTTGCTTGAATGTGTGCCAGTTTTGTGGCGCAGCATAAATTCTTCGAAGTTCGTTTATGTTAGGGTTAGGGTCCGCGTGTTATGGTTAAGAAGAGGTGTTTATATAGTGAAATTGTCTAGCGAAAACTTTTTGTTAAAGCACTAAAGGTGGTTTCCTATGCAGATTTTCAAGAAATAGACGATTTCTTACAAAACGGACGTTTGTTTTGAATCTTCTTGATCGTGTTACGTTACACCTGATCTTGAAATCTGATTCGTAGTTCAAGACATCTGCGCCACAAACCTGGCACACATTCAAGGGGTGCCACTCCGATTGGCCATTTCCTTTCTAGGGTTTGTATTACCCGCGTGCCGTACGTACGTACGTACGTACGTATAATGAGATTTAAGTACAGTTAACGTACACATGTGCGATTCTCAAAAACAGACCAAAATGTATTTACAAACTTATAGTAATAGTGATTCTGACGTAAAAATAATCGTTGGAAATGGAAGAAATATTAAAGAATTTAAAGCGCATTCAAGAATTCTACGTTCCCGATCTCTTTATTTTCAAAGGGCTTTGTCTGAACGATGGATGAACAAGGATCATGGCTTTTACGTGTTTAGAAAGCCAAATCTTTTTCCTTCTACTTTTAAAATAATTCTTGAGTGGGTATTATACTTTTATTTAATTATATATCTATTACAGTAATTCTACATTAATAAAATCTTTTCTAATAATTTATAAGTTATATTTATACGGAAAAAGCTATATTGCAAACAAGTGGTGAAAATTTATTAAATTTATTAGCTGCAGCTGACGAACTTGAACTTCTTAATCTTGCGGAATCTGTACAAGAACATTTAATAAAAAAATACTCGTTATGGCTATTTTCTAATCTTATTACTTCACTTAATTTTACTTGTCATCATAATCATTACCAGAAATTATACGATCATGTTCTGGATATTGCTTGTAGAAACCCTTATTCAATTTTTGATTCCAATGACTTTCCATTATTAGATATTGTGACTATGATATGTCTTTTAAGAAGAGATGATCTTGGACTTGAAGAAATAGAAATTTGGAATTATTTGATTAAATGGGGAATTGCTAATTCTCAAAAACTTCTTGATGAAAATGTCACAAAATGGTCTGATGAAGATATTTCAAGCTGGTCTGACGATCAATTCATGGCATTAAAAGTAACAATTTCTCAATGTATCCCCTTGATTCGTTATTATCATATTTCTAAGAGATATATTGATGAACAAATTAAGCAATATCGCTTGGATCCTAATACATTTATTAAGCATAAAACCTTTCAAAGAGGATGTTCCAGATTACTTTTTGGTATGAATAAAACTATAATTTCAAGTTGGATTGATAAAAAATATAATGGTTACTATACATGGATGACAAATCCTTATAAGCTTAAACTTTTATTGCGTGGAAGTAGAGATGGTTTTGATATTAATACATTTCATAAGTTATGTGATTTTCAAGGTCCAACTTTGACAATACTTGAGATTCAAGAGACAGGTGAATTAGTAGGCGGATATAATCCTGCAAGTTGGAGTAAATTTACCAATGCTATTGAATTTTATAATGGATATTTTAGATTGATACCATATATTAAAACTTCAGATAGTTTTATTTTTTCATTTACTGACCAATCAAACCCAATATTAAGTAGAGTAATTGTAAGAAAAAATGACAAGGCTATTTGGAGTGATAAATATCATGGACCCTGTTTTGGAACTTTCGATTTATGCATGCAATCAAATCATTGGACCAGCGAATGTACTGATTATTATTATAAAATAACTGATTTATACCAGTTTACTGTTAAAGAATATGAAGTTTTAGCATTTGGGGATTTTAATTCTAGAGAAAGTATAGCTTTAAAAAGAATTCGGAAGTTAGCATCTTATTGTTTAGTCAAAATTTTAAATTTCGCGTTAATTGTATTTTATTTTATAGGAGAAACATATAACATAATTAAAGTATTAAGTATAGGTGTATTAGATGTATTGGCAACTCTAGGGATTTCAATTATAGGTGTATTATTTCTAGGGTTGATAATGTTAGGTGTATTGAAAGTTCTAGGGTTTTTTGTTGAAAGTTTTTTTAGAGATTTAATTGTAGGTGTAGACGTAGTTTGTGT